GCCCGGAGCATCTGAACTTACTTTAGCCAGAACTCATTCTCATACCTCCGATATAAAAATTATATCTCTTCAAAGCCATCCTGGACATGTGTGTGTGCATCCCTACCCCTGCCAATCCCTGTACTGTCAAATCCTAGATGATTACTGCATCCCCTGGGGACTTAATTGGATTTGTGCTCTCTAAGTATGCAAACACTTGCTGTTTGGGCTGCACCTTGCCACTGCAAATAGAACCATTGACCTACAAAGTACAGCAGTTTCACCCTTTCTTTCCTCCATCCCCTTTCCTCCTAAGGAATGACTACGGTGCCTCTGAAAGGAAACAAAGCACAGGTCAGGTTTGGCAGGACCTCTCAAATGGGAAATATTCCCTCTTGGGTCTGAGTGGTTAATGATCTGTGTAGCATATTTAGTTCAGACTTCAAAGCCTTTTTCGCTGAGATTGTGTCAAAGCTGATTTGAAACACAGACTGAGCGAAAGCACTCACAGGAAATACAGTTATTGCCTAGAACAGATTATCAGAGTACCTGTGGCCACCTGGGTTAAGCTGCTTTTTATAAATGACTGGATTTCTCTGCTCAACACGCTCTACTGGCTTGCTGTTTGCTGTGGCTTTCTGAGTGGAGGAGCAGCGAGCGCGTGGACTGTGACAACCCCGGGGCTGCTGAGCGTGGTCCCCCTGCATGGTGGTGAAAGCCCATCGACAAAATAGGTTTGTTGTTCAGCTTTGATACGTGTCTGCTCTTTGGCAACACCTCATGGTGTCTGCTCTAAACTGACTGCTTTTGGGCTTGTGTAGGTGTGTGCACATGGAGGTGGCCTGTAGAGCATGTGGAGCAATTTTACCAGGCTCGAGAAGAAATGCCCCAAATCAGGATGATTAAAAAAACCCACAAAGAGCAGAGGGCAACAGAATAAAATTTCCCTCCAAAATTTTAAGAGGGGTTTTGTGGGATTTTTGTAGAAACAGAAATTGGGTTGATTTCTATCTGGAGCTGCTGAGGCTGAAATCTGCATTTGGCTCAGAGGCCACCCCAGATGAGAGGTGCAAACCTAGATTTTGGAAAAAATGAGCATGCCTCTGTTTTTGGATGCCAAGCAACCTGTTTTTGCAGAGGCACTGAGTTGTTTTTTTGATCTCAGTAGGAGTTCTGGGTGCATTAATGCTCATGCAAATCAGGCTGCAGGTATCTGAAGTCAGGCAGCCAAAAGCACAGGCGCCCCAAATTTGCAGGCTGCATATTATGTAATTGCAGCTCCAAAAACTCTCCACATTTCATTTTCCCATGCTGATAATGCTGTGGCTCTAAAATGTTCCTCAAATGGACCTTGGAAAGAGAGTTTAGCCTTTATTTAGCAGGAGAAAAAACATCCCCATCAGTGAGAGCCACTCTTACTGTATTTCTGGTGTAGTCTCCATCTTATTCCCATTATTTGACATCTCCCTTTTAGAAATTCAGGTCAATCTTTAAAAGAAAATTTCCATCCTGAAGTGAAAAAGTTTCCACATTTGACGTTTCTGGAACAAATAATTTTCAGGTATGCCAGACTAAACTTTTTCAGTGCTATAAATTTTGTCCTGCTTTAGTTCTAGAAGAAACTATTTGCTTCACTTGACCTGAACTTGCAGTTCTTAACAGTGCATCTGAAATTTTCCAAGAAAATACAGTATTCACAAAAACAGTTCATCCAGCTGAACCCAGGCAGAGGATTTTAGTCTCATCTGCTTGGTTAGTGATTTTGTAAACTGGCCAGCAGCCTGTAGCCTGGTAGCCAGGTTGCCAAATTGTTCTTTCTTTCTGTTGAATGAACTTCTAGGAACTCCAGTGAGTGAGCAGTTTCTTTTCTGTTGTGTTCCTGATGCAGAAAAAAAAACAAACAACAAACTATTGATGGTGGTGATGCAAAATTTCCAAGTGGATTTTTTTGGGCAGGTTTAAGGAATGAGGGTTGGAAAGTTTGGGCACTGGACAGCCCAGCTGTTCCCCTGGGGCAGCCACACTGCATTTGCAGGCAGCACAAGCAGCGGGGACCCAGAGAGCTCCCCAAAGGGCTGGTGGAAATCCACCTCCCGCCCCCTGAGGTGCCACCAAAGCCAAGGCACTGCTGCGGTGCAGTCATGCTGTGGCAAACTCCTTTTTTTCAATGCAAACAGGGCTCCTGGGGCAGGGCCTGCCACCAGCAGTGCTCTCGGAGGTTGCAGCTGGAGCTGGGCTCTGAGGAAGGCGAGGTTCCCCTGGCATGTCCTCCCCTGCCCTGCCCTGCCGCCGGTTTCCCTCCAGGCACTGAGTGAGAAAGTGAGCGTGGATCCAATTGCCTCGGTGGCACAACATCCAGATGTTTTGAATACTTGTGTAGATTCCTCCTTGTTTGTGATGTGGTTAGGGCTGCTGGCAGCAAGGTGGGGAGCTTTTAACACGATGCCAGAGGAGAGGAAGTGATAACCCACTGTGATAACCCACTGTGACAGATCGGTGTCTGCTGCTCGCTGGAGCCGCTGCTGCTGCTGACAGTGCTGGGTGGGGTGTTCTCCCGCTATCTTTGTCTCCTGGATGGAGTGGACAATCCCTGAGCATTCTGTCCTCTCTTCCTAAGGTCGGGAGATCAGCTCTGCCTCTGTGGCTGTGGCTGCCCTGCTAGCAGAGCTCCTCACCTTCTTAGCTGAACCAGGTTCCTGAAAGCAAGTCCATGCAGGAGGTGGGGGTTTTTTGTTTTGCGTGGTTTTTAAGAAGAAAAAATGTTTCTGCATTTTAGATATAATCCAAGGGCCCACACAAAGAAAAAAATTTTCTAATTGTTCTTGATGCAATGTGTTTGGCAGCCAGAAAAAAATGTGGGTGGGGAATGTATCTACTGCAATGTTCTTCTTGCCTCCTTGTAGGGGGAGGGAAGAGAGTGAAAGCAATTTGTCTTTGGCAGGCACTTATGGTCTTCTGTAGGGCTCAGAAGAGAAGGCTGAAATTGCTGACCATAAATGCAAGCAAAGGTCTGCACACCTTGTGCAAAGACAAAAAGAAAAGGCAGCCTGCAGAGCTAAATTAAATTAATGGATGTGATACCTTAAATTAGTGGATGTGATCAAAATACTGGTGGGAGCTGGCAAGTGAATATCCCGGGGATTTTAAAGCCTGGGAATTCCAACAATCTTGTGTGGAGGTGGTTACTTCTGTGGCCAACTTCTTATCCAAGACTTAAGGGCTGGCTTTTGGAGCGTGCTGGAAGTGTGTGTGGCAGTGCCAAGGAAGCAGCCAGGAGACTGTGCTGGGTTTTGGATAATCAGATGTAACTTGTACTGAAGTGAACTCTTCTCTCCAGTGGAATTTTATCTTGGAAAGGATGGGGCTTCTCTCTAGAGCTTCCACATAGGGTGGTCTTGACATAGGAGGCCACCAGAGAGCTGGCCCAAGTGGGGATCCAGCTGGGCTCTGCAGAGGTGACATCTCTTGGTTTGAGCCCCAGTGGAGGACAGAAGATGTCACCTTTGAGAGGTCCCTACTCTTGGCAGAGCTGGGCTTAGCGAGAGACTGGGTTATCAGCCCTCTGTCACTGTACAGAGCCTGTGAATTTTGTGTGTGGCTTCCCAGGGATGCTGGCAACACTGCTGTGAAATGGGAGATCCCAAGAGAAAAAAAAAAACAAAACAAAACAAAAACAAAACCAGGGCAGTTATTTTGTGGACTGGAAATTGCTCGCTCATTGCATACAGACCACATGTGTGAAGACTGTAGGTTAATTGAAGTCCTTTTAGAAATTGGGCCCTACGTTCCTAGGTCTTGATTTTATAAAGTGGGTTGTTTTTATTTTGTACAACAGACTTTTGTGGTGAAATTCTTTCTATTGAAACTCTTCTAATTTGAAAATGCATGACTTGACAACCCTGGGTGCTTCAGTCCTTGACAGGCCTCAGGTGTGAGGCTGATTTTGTGCTCCCAGTTCATGTGTGCTGAGATGTGGTGGATGTCAGCACTGAATCCAGGTCTCTGCAAAGTACCGTCAAAACCTGTGTTTTTACACCAGGGTGGGAATTGATTTGGTTGAGGAGGTTGCTGTGAGGGTCAACTTTTATTTTTGTAGTGAACCCTCAATTTTTCCAGGGTCCTGTATTTTCAGTAGACACTGCTCAGATCTCTGTGCTGCACAGGTTTTATTGCACCCTAATTTCCATTGGCTTTAGCAGAGGAAAGCTGTTGCTTTGTGCATGAAATTATTAGCATGGGATGGCAGATCTCTCTGGCCTCTTTTCCTCCTGTTCTATGTAATGTTGAGGAGATTTCAGTGGTGGGTCAGACTAAGTGAATAAACTACTGGGTGAAGGCCTGGCCATGTGAAATTTGGTTGCCCATAAATTATTCTTGCTTTCTGATTCCACTGAATTTTAATTTAAGAGTGATCTGGGATGTGAGTTGGGGAGACACATGAAGAGGAAGAAACCTTTACCTGTGAGACAGCACGTTCCACAGAGCAATCACCATTTTGACCAGAAATAAGGGAACAGGCAGCCTCTTTTGCTGCTGTATTTGCTCCCCAAGGTATTCACAGGTGGGGACAAAACCTCCCACCCTAATCTGAGGGCTGGAATGATCATGGCAGTTGGGTTACCTGGGGGGGCTCTCATGGGACCCAAATGACACTCTTTGACCTGGCCTGTTCAACAGGCTAAAAAAGATGCAACAGTCATTGCAACAACTAATTTTTGGGGTATTTTCTTCTGTATCCTCTCCAAGAGAAGGAAGAAGAACAAGGTACACCCATCTAGTCATTACTTGGCTCATCTTAGGGGCAGGCAGCAAAGTAAATTCTTCAAGGGACAGCCTTAACTTTTCCAAACACTTCCCAGGGAAGATCAAGGCACTGTTCATACATGTTTCTGGCAGGGGAAGCCTGCAGGTTTAATTTTGTGATTGAAAACAGCCTCTATGTGCCACAGATTATTGGGTACCGTAGTTTTTAAAAGGAAAGAACCTTGCAGCAATGATTGCACAAACAAATTTGGCATTCCTGCTTTTATATTAAATTTTTTTTATTGAGATGATGTAATTACAAGCATTTTAAAAATTATTTGCAACTCACTGGCCCTGAGAATAGGCTTGTTTGTTTTTGTTTTGTTACATTCATTTGATTCAGTCCCTTAGCCCCACACCTTACTGAAAAAAAAAAGAAGCCATCATCAATAAAAACACTAGAATTTTATTTAAAAAAAACAAAACAAAACAAAACAAAAAAAGAAAAACCAAACCCAAACCTCAAACTCTGGATTTGCACACAGTTGCAGTCTGACAAAAGAGATCTGGAGAATGAATACATGGAGTTTGAAATCTGGGGAGGATGGCAGTGACTCAGTGTTCACAGAAAGGGCCTCAGTAGTGTTCTCTGGATGGAGAGGCAGTCAACAGGTTTCGAATTTAAATCAGGAAAATATTCTGCTGTGGAACTGCAGCATGTCCTGCCTGACTGTCTTGAGGCTTGTTCAGGCTGGTAGCAAGCTGACACAATGAACTTAATTGCACAGTGTGAAGAACCACTGCTGGGTACTGAAGTTGGCAAGGACCTCTGGAGGTCACCTGGCCTGACAGGGCCAGCCAGGGCCGGCTGCCCAGGGCTGTGTCCAGATGCCTTTTGCCCATCTCTTGAGGATGAAACACTTTCTCCCTTTCCCCACCTGCTTTGGTGGCAAAGGCAGAAAGTTTGGCTGTTTTGCTGCTGGCAGATTCTACACTGGGAAATCAGAATCTGGGGGGGAAGGCAGGTGTCAGTGTTAGTGGACAGACACTGTTACCTTTGCTAGGTAACAACAGGCTCAGCATGCTGATGCTGTCTTTGTATTCCCATGTATCTGCCACGTGGTGCTCTATCCTGCTTCTCCTTTTTTATTTTCAGTCATAGCTGATGAACTTGCTTCGAAGAGCCCCAGAGCAGCTCAAACCCTGCAGCTCCCAAAGAGGTCCCAGCAGCTGCAGTGACACCCACGCCTCTGACTTCTGCACCAAACAGGCCTAGCAGGAGGCAGGCAGGTTCAAAGGCTATTTTCAAACTAGCATCAGCCTTGACAGAACTTTTTCTCTGTGGCTGTGATGATGTTTTCTTAGGATGCCCCTTATTTGTGAAATGGGAAGAGTTTCCAACAGGCACCAAACTTTTTTTTTTCCCCCTTTGACTTAGATTCCCTAAGTGAAAGTGATTGCATTTTTTTGGTAAAGATGAACATTTTCCCTACAAAACCTCCCTATGGGACAGCACATGGGATTTTCCTGTCTTACTGAGGATGAACTTTGTTTGATAGCGTAACAATGAGCATGTGGGCTTTTACTGGTGGATTGTCTCTTGTTCTCTGTACTTTGCAGTGTGCACCTTGGCTATAACAAAAACCTGGGACTCATCAGAGCCCTTGCCCAGCTGGCCATGCTTTATCTGATGAACCCCCCAGGACACGGCTGGCCCTCCTGGCTGCCAGGGCACTGCTGACTCCTGTTCAACCTGCCATCAACCAGGACCCCAGCTCCCTTTCCGTGGCACTGCATCTCATTCTCATTGCTCTCGGTGTGTACGAGCAGCCAGGGCTGCCCCATCCCAGGTGCACAACGAGGCACTTCCCCTTGTTGAACCTCACGTGGTTGGTGACTGCCCAGTCCCCTGATTTGTCAAGGTGTCTCTGCAGGCCCTCCCTGCCCGAGGGTGTCAGCAGCTCCTCCCAGCTTTGTGTGGCTGCAGACTTGCTGAGTGTCCCTTCCAGTCCTGCATCCGAGTCATTTCTGAAGATGTCCAAGAGCACAGGGCCCAGGATGGAGCCCTTCAGAACCCCACTAGTGACAGGTGGCCAGTCTGATGTTACCCCATCCACTGTCACCCTCTGTGCTCAACCTGTGAACACACCCACCGTGTGATGTGTTTTATTGTGTACAATGTGCTGGACATTTTGTCCAGAAGATAGACAGCACTGAAAGCTTTACTGAAATCCAAAAAGATTGCATCACCTGGCTTCCCTGAACTGGTTACCTTGTCATAGAAGGAAATCAGGTGTGATAATCAGGCCTTCCCTCTCATGAAGCTGTGCTGGCTGTGACCAGTGACTGCATTGTCTTTCAGGTGTTTTTCAATCCCTCCCAGATAATCTCCTCCATAACTTTACCAGGCACTGAAGTGAGACTGACAGGCCTGGAGTTTCCAGGCTCCTCCTCCTTGCCCCTCTTGAAAACCAGGAAAACATTCCCCAGCTTCCAGTCAGCTGAGACCTCTCCAGATTCCCAAAACCACTCAAAAATCATTGAGAGAGGTTTTGCAGTGACATCAGCAGCTCTTTGAGGATTCTTGGATGAATCCCCTCAGGCCCCATAGATTTGCAGGGATCCAACTAGAGCAGCAAATCCCACACAGTGTCAGGGTTGACTGGGAGTTGATCCCTTAGTCTGTCATCTGTGTGGAAGACAGAGGAAAAAAAAAAGCATTAAACCCCTGTGCCTTGTGTCTGTCCCTTTTGGGAGGTGAGCATCCCCATCCTGTAATGGGCCGAGGATATTTCTATACTGCCCATTGCCATTTATGTACTCGAAAAAACTCTTTTTATTGTCCCCCACATTTCTGGCAGCTTCATCTCCAGTTGAGCTTTAGCCATACAGATTTTCTCCCTGTTGCAGCAAGCAACATTTCTGTATTCTTCACGTCACTTGACCTTGCTTCCAGTGGGTATTCACCTTCCCTTTTTGCCATATTTCCAGGAGAAGATCCCTGTTCAGCCAGGTTGGCCTTCTGCCTCGCCTGCTTGACTTCTGCCATTTGGGAACTGCCTGCTCCCGTGCCCTTAGGAGGTGATGTTTAAAAAGTGACCAGCACTGATGGACCCCAGCACCTGCAAAAAACATGTTTCCAGGGGGCCTTACCTACTAATTCCTGAGCAGCCCGAAGTCTGCTCTCCTCCTGTCTAGATTGAGGTTTTGCTGGCACTTTTCCTCCTGCCAACACTGTTCATTGCATGCCACTTTTTCCTGGACGGATTAACTCTCCTGTTAAATATTTGGAAAAATGGGTTGAAAGATGGATTAGATTAGATGAGCTTTTTCATTTTTTCCCACGTTTAGTTTCTTTTATGGTCCCACTGAAGAAGCTTTCTGCTTAAAAGCAGAACTGGTGCGGAAGTGCTTGCTTTCAGACAGCACGAGATTCCTGCACAGTTTCTCTGTGTACCTTCTCCCTTTGCAAGCATCATTTGTGCTGCTGGATCTTCCTTCCATTGAAATGACCACTGCTGATGGATTGCTGGACACCTGGACACCACAGAGATTCTCTTGTCTTGGGCATCAGGGACTGCTGAGCTTTTTCTGTGACCAAAGGAGGCAGAGTTCTTTGCCTCATGCAGAGCACCCTCGGTGCAGCAAACCAAACTGAAGCACCTTGCAACCAGAACGAAATGCCAAACCAAGAAAGCAACGTGGCTCCAGGGTTCTTTTTTTTCCTTGTCTTTTAAATCATGTTAAAAACAGGCAAGCTGAGACAAGCTTCCTTCATGGCAGAGCTGGAGGGTGGGGGAGGGTAGCAGGAGGCATAAAAAAACCCCCAAATCCGAAAACAAAGCAAGCCAAAATCAACTACAAGATGTAAGTACAGCTATTTGGTCTCTAGTGCTCTAATATCACCTCTCAGACTGGTGAATCATCTACCTCTCCTGCAGCAGAAAATGGTCTTGGAGAGGCTTCTGAGTAATACAAACCATGTGATGAGTCCCTTTGCTTTCTCCCTGTGATGTAAGAACAGTCCTTCACCTTTCACCCCCAAATTGCTAGCAGGTATGAGAAACACCCCTTCCTTTTCTAACTACAGATGCTTCAGTCTTCCCTAGAAAGGGAAAAAGCTTTGAGCTGAAATTCTGCATTGTGGAGAACATTGGGGAGGTTTATATATATATATACATATATATATATATGAAACTTTTATATATATACACATATATGTCTTTGTCCCTGCCCACCCTTCCCCCTGCTCCAGTCTATCACTTCCTTGCTAGAAAGACGGAAAATACTAACTGATAGTCTGTTGCAGAGGTTTGTCACACTTACTTTTCTCCTCCCCAGAGCACTTAGGTGATTGGTTTTGGTCCATATTCCAGCAGTCAGTAGCCACTCAGAGTATGCACTGTGAGCCCAAGCTATGCTGGGATGATAGCCCAGCCTGGATGTGAAGGGTGTCTCCTCGTCATTGGACAGGTATGTGTGGTAAATTCTTTTGGTGGCTTCAACACATTTCCCAGCAGCAGCACGTGTAAATCGATCCGAGCAAACTGGAAGCCTTGAGCAAATCCCTTCTGTATTGCTATTGTTTATGCAGTGTTGTGTCACGAGGCTTGCACAGAAAATAAAAGCACTCTATTTCCATAGGAAAGCATTTAAAAAAAAAAAAATGGCAGCATAATCTGACATCTTGTCCTATGTAAGATAAGGAAAGTCAAACTGCACGTTTATTAGGGGAAAAAAAAAACCAACACCCCCCCCCCAACTCAAACAGACCAAAAAAAAAAAAAAGTAAAGAACTGAAGGGAGACTTTGTAGGAACAGCGAAGTAGTGCACAAGTCCAGGCTTTCTCCCCTTTGCTTTTCTGCCAGCACCACTTCTGCCTGTTTGTTTTGTTAAGGTGCTTCAGGTCCTGTGTGGTTTTTCAAGCTAAGCGGCAACCTCAAGTACTGCTTCTGTGTCGCTTCTTCCCCTCCCAAACCATGCCAACCATGCGGGCAGATGTTCCTCCCAGGGACCCACAGAGGTGGTGCACCTGTTTCCTTCAGCACTCATCTTCTTGGTATATTATTTGTTCATCCAGTTCCTGGGATTCAAGGTGCTCGAGCCGGTCCGTTCGGCCGCTCATGATCTCATCTGGGGTCTTCATGAACCTGCAAAGCAGAGAAACAAATGCATTTCTCACGGGCTCAGCTTTTACATTCATCAAGTTGTTGAGGTCCCTGAGCTCTACAGCTCCTCAGATAATCTTTGCAGTATTTAGTATTTCCCACATTTTCCCCAGCTTACTGATGTCTTCCCTCCTGCATACCTTGAAAGGAAACAAACAAACAAAAAAATCACAGGCATTTATCCCTGCTCCTTGAAAGCCCAAATCTGAACCAAACCCCACATTTTGTTCCAAAAAATGGTATTTATTTCTTCTCCTTTGTATTTATTGTTTGCTGTTGTCACGTAAGGTGATAGTATGCCCCAGGTACACTCATTTGTGGTGTCTGGTGACAGGAACATGAAATACCTTTATGACCAGCATATTTCAAAACAAAAGCACTTGTAACGTGTGGAGAGGCTGCTGGTTTGTGTGGGCCTGTGTGTAGGTGAATGAGAAGAACACGAAACACCAAAGAAACAGTGGTGGAAAAAGCCAAAGGTCCAAGTCAGAACAAGTTCTGGGAAATGGAAAAAGCCCTGAAGGGAAAAGCTTTGGAGCTGGGGAACTGTAAGCAAAGGCAGTCTCTTCCTGTGTGACTGTAAGGAGCGTCATTGTACCGGAGCAGCATCCTCTCCAAATGAACACCACGGCTCCCAGCACTCCTCTCTCAATGCAGTCAGGCTGCAGGGGGCTGGAAACAGAAACGGCCTCTGTGGAGGCATGGCAAGAGTAGGAAATGGGAAAGGACATCCACCAGCCTGCAGATAAGTCTGATTTTTGCCAGGATGCTTATGTGCACTACTGCACAGGGGTAGCATGGAAAAGCTCTGCTCCTTCTTTTTGAATGCAGTGGCACAGGAAGAGAGTGTGGCTCGGGAAGGATGAAATCTCAGTTTCAACACAAATCAGTCCCTGAAGTATTTCTGGCGAAAGCAGGATGAAAGATGTTTATTCTGGAAGCGTTGCAAAATTTCCCAGTCTGTCATTAACAATGTACCAGTTAACACTCAGCAGTACAAAATGTGTTAATGGCAAGAGCTGGTTTTATTTCAGGTTGATGATACGTTCAGTATCCTTGCCCCAGTGAAAGCAAAAACAACCAACAGGAGCCTTGTTACTACCACTGACCCAGAAAAATCACTGCTGAAGCCTCTGGGCAAACACATAGCATAGCCTGGAACTAACCTTTTGCTATCCCTTCTAATCTGGGAAATCATGTGCACATATGCATTTAGGGAAAAAAAAAACCCCAGGCTATGACTCAGTGCTGTGTCACTGCCATTTGTATGCTGGAAGAAGGCTGCTGATACAAATGGTGTCACAGCAGTGAGAAACTCATGTGCAGGAGTGGTGAATCCATCCCTGGCCACACAGTGAAAGTGCAGGAAAGCCTCAGGGCCTGTGCCTTGCTTTAAACCCTGTGATTGCCTGGCTGATTCTGCATGAGAATGAGCTCAGAGGGCTGATGTGAACTGCACCACAGCACTTCAGGTGTTCCTTCTGCTCTGTGTTTTAAGTCATGTCGAGGAAATCAGAGCGTGGGCATTTGTAATAGTGTTTGATTACATTAAAAAAACCCCAACCCAACTTAACCTAACCCAACCCAACCCAACCCAACCCAACCCAGAACTACAAGCTAATTAAGAAACAGCATCTGTGACCTATTTTGTTGCAGAAGACACTCAGGCAATCTATTAGAAATCCTTCTCTGACTCCATTGTACTTAAAAGCTTCACACAGGTATCTGCAGATGACAACTGCCTGCACGTTACTTATAAAGTCACAGTTCCTATTATTTCTGTGCTTGCGAGAAATAGCCAAGAAAGGCACATTAATGACTTGATCTTTTGCAGCTGTTCTTTTTCTCTTCAGATATAAATAGGTCTAAAAAAAAAAATCATCAAAAAGTTTTATTACAGAACTGCTTTACTGTTTTTTTCTTTTTTTTTTTTTTTTTTTTAAGTTTCCAAAAGAAATGAGGTTTATATTCTCATGTTTTATGTTCCTTGGTGACCTTTGAATCTGTTGGTCGATTTGGGCATGTCTGACGGAGGAACTGAGGTCTCCAAGGGCATTAAGACTTTGAGAAAACAGGCAGCCTGGTTGAGAAGAGATGGCTCCTCTTTTGTTTGTGCTCCCACTGAAGGGCAGGCTTCAAGGTGTTCAGAATCATGGACTGCCCCAGGACAATGCAGTCTCCTCACAAGACCACAGAAATCCAGGTACCCTTGGTACTGCTGCTGCTGAAACAAGCTGCTTTTAATGTTCCACCAAAAACAAAGTTAGTGTCAAGCAGGTGATTCTGCCCATGGCTACTTCTTCCCTTCACTCTCCTTCCCCCATCTGTGTTTCCTTCTAAGACCTGACAAGTCATTCTAAAGAAAGAAACCTTTTCAGCTGTAGATAGTTTGAGTGCTATTGCAGTTCTGTTAGCTGTTTAAGAGAACAAACTCCAAGAATGCCTTCCTCCTTCCCAGGCACACAACCAGATCCAGACCATGGACATCAAAGCAGTCTTTGGTCCAAGTTCAGTGCTCTGTGGGTCAGACACACACAGTAAAATTTGCTGGTCTTGTCTGAGGAGAACTAGAGTGCTTTCACCCTCTGCCAGCTTCACTCAAGTTTGTACAAGTTTAATGCTCTTTCAGGCACTGTTTTCTAAATTTTTGGTTGTCTCATCCAATCCAATGCATTAGGTTTTATGGTCCCTCTTCCTTGAAGGCAGCACTGCTGAAAACACGGTCATCGGCGCTCCTCTTCTGTGATGCATCTGAGGAAATGCCTGATCCCTGCTTCACTTTCACTGGCAGCTGTGTTTGAGACCATTTGGAGTTGGTTTTCCAGCAGTTTGGCTGAATCATTTATCTCAGATCTTACACAGTGGCACAGCCTGACTGAAGGGAGTGCAAAGACTTCTCCTGACTCCACTGATCACTGAAACAGGCCTCTGTTTTCCTAAAGTTGGTGTGGTTGCCTTGAAAGCTGGCAAGCAACTTTTATAAATGTGTGGCTATTGTCATCTGTTTTATAGCTGTGGCAATGAATTCCATTCTTCACCTTCAAAAAACTAATGGTCTGTAGAAAGGAATAGCAAAGAAAGAAGATTACCTGAACAAAAGCCTCTGTCCTGGCTCCTTCCGGATAATGTTTAGTTTGTAGTAGTGGCGTAGAGCTCTGGACATTTTCTCATAAGTCATATTTGTTCTGTTCTGTTTTGTGTTTTTTTCAAAAGAAAAAAAGCAAAAATGTGGTGAGATGATTCATTAAAACCTGCCTAAGCCCCAGAAGGAGTTTCAGAACTCTCACAGCTAGCTAAAGTAACCAGGTCAGTTCAAGAAATTACACGTTCCACTCTTCTGTTTTTGCAGGCCCACTGGGGCCCCCACAGCCCTCATCACCAAACTTTTGTGTGTCTCTTTTCAATCAGGGCAATTCAAGCAAGGAATCTTATCAAAAATTCCAAGTCAGGTTTTTCTACAGTTTCTTGAAACACAGATAACAAAAGACTTAATTACCTACAAGAGGAGACATGGAGGGAGATGCTCATGTCAAGTGGGATGTGACAGGCCTGTTCTTAGAGAAAACACATTTTGTAAAAGCCTAAGAACAGTGGCAAATACACTGAATCTGTCAGCAATCCCTGCTCAGAGCATTGTTCCTCTTAAGATTTCCCTGCACTGACTAATTAATGCTTACAGAACACCGTAGAGATTGACACCCCCTTTCTCCTCTTGTTATCCAGGTGTAATTCAAGGAGCCCACTGGATTGTAAATCAAGAAGCTCCTCCCCTTCATTCTGGGGGCTGTTGACCCCACAGGCCAGAGCAGTGTGGTGTACTGAAGCATTTTAGACACATGATGGCACAGCCCGATTATTAACACGCAGGTTGGGTAAGGGCACAACTCTCCATTCCCGGTGTTGCAGCTCTGATGTTCTTGGAAGCAATTATGTCACATGAGAAAATCCTGACCTTATAAAGATTATAGGCTATGTGTGCTCATATATAAAGTCACAGAACAGCTGAGGTTGGAAGGCACCTCTGGAGATCACCCAGTCCAGTCCCTCTGCTCAAAGCTACATCACCCAAGTCATTAATGAACACATTAAACAGTTCTGCCCCCAGAATCAATCCCTGGGGTAACATCACTACTGACTGGATTTTGTGCCATTGATTACAGTCTTTTCATCCCAGCAGATCAGGCAGTTTTCAATCTGCCTCACTCTAGTCTTGTCTAGGGCATACTTAATTAGTCTGTCTATGAGGCTCAAAAGCCTTTCTAAAATCGAGATAAGCTATATCCACTGTTCTCCCTGAATCCACTAAGCTAATAATTTCATTGTAGATGTGTATCAGTGGTCATACATTCCTATGAATATAGTCATGTACACATATCTATGTGTAACTCAGTCCCAAGCTGCAAAAATCAGTAACTGCTTTCCAGAGAACAAAACACAACTGCCCTGTTAAAAGAAACACACAGCCCTGCAGCATCTCGTGTCTGTCACAGGACAGTGGGTGAAGCCTGAAGGTTGGTGAGACAGGGACACAGACAGGCAGCTCCTGCCAAATTATTGGACAGGGCTCCTTGCAGACCACATCTAATCAGAATATCCTTAGCATCAGATTTCGGGAAGAGATCAGATGCCTGAGAGAGAGAAGGACTGTTAATTCTTGCACTCCTTGTCATTTTATAATGACATGCATTGATAACTAAATGCTTCTAAACCCAACCAAGAGGTTTTCTCTAGGAAGACGAGGGTTTGGTGCTTGAGGATGGATGGTTTATATTTCTAATGTATGGAGAATGAAAGATTCCAGCTTCCAGCAGTAAATTTATATGCACATCCTTTCTTCCTTTTCCCCATTTACAAGTGAATCCCGTGATGTTACCAGAGGTGAAAGTGCTGTAGGAGGAAAAACTGCATTGCTTCCTTACCTTGTGGTTTCCCCACAGCCGGGCCAGCCCGTTGGGATCCACTATCCGAAATATTTTGGATTCCTTATCTTCCCATCGGATGAAATTTTCGTACCGGCTGTCAGAAAGCAGCTGATAAACATAATCCCAAAGCAACCTACAGTCTGTGAAGAGAGAAGCAAGAAAACACTTGTTTTTTTTCCTTGGGATTAATTCAGGAAACTTTTGGGTGGATGTGTAGTAAAAGGGCAGTTGGGATCAGGGCTGAAACAGCTGCTGCAATCTGAAATGCAAATGGCTTGGCTGGTACTGAGTGATGTTTGCAAACTGTACTGGAATATCCAGCCTCTTCTGATGCATCCTAGTCCTTCTGCCACTGACTGAGCATCTTCATGGCATTAAAAGCTGTGTGACACGGCCTGCTGACCTGAGGTGCCTGTTTATTGTTGGACTGGGGCACATAAAACTACCCCTGTTATCCCTGATGCTGTTGCTGGCTATTTTAGTGGAGAAATCAAGAATCTTGCAACCTGTTCTCCTGGCCTGAGACTGCTCCTTTCTGTGCTAACATATGAGTTCTAAAGCAGGGGCAATATCACAGCTTTACTTTTTATGCTCCATAATATAAAACTGACACCTTCTGCCATTTTAAATTTGATTTTTGTTTGATTTTTTAAGGTTCCTGAAAAAAAAAAAACCACAAGTATTAAAATTACTTAAATGCTATCGAGAGGTTAAAATATTCTGTTTGGATAATTGAATTTCCTCTTGAAAAACACTACTCAGGTCGCTAATTAAAGGTCTAACAGAGATTTAGGTTTGAGTTTAGTGCTTTTCAGTTTCATGGCTATCAGGACTATCTCTGAAACCTGTCCTGTCTCTAAAACCAGTGCTGGTGCTACAGACTCCTTCTCCCAGTCCTATGAAGAATAAAGCAGTCTGTGACATCTGGCAAAAACTGCAGGTTTCTGTTCTAGCTGAACATCTACCCTGATGCTCATCTCATCCACAGCATCTGCAAGGGGAAAAACGTGAAAGGAAAGAGGTAGACTTTTTAGTTGGAAAAACCTTATTTTCGTTACCATTTTTCACAGAAAAACATTTCCCACAGAAAAATGTCCATTCCCCTCTGAAATTTTCCTAGGTTTTAATTACAAAAATAAAACCTGAGGGCAAGTTTCCCTGGACTGTCTCACACACACAGAGTCCCCTTTCTTCACAGAATGAAGGAAGCCTAAGATGTCAAATTGTTAGATTAACAAGACAGCTTCAGACGCTAAGAAGAGATGAAGGATTCAAGTGCAGATTTGGTTTTTGTTGTTCACTTTTAATTTTCAGAATGGATTCAGGGTAAGCTTGAATGTAAATGTACCTCAAATGAGAAGAACTCAGATCTGCACCTTGAGATCTTCACAAGAAAATCCCATCCCATCTTCTAAACTGACTGAGCTGCTTACACTTGCACAGGTATTTAGCAGGCTGGTGGAATTTGCAAAAAAACACAGCCACCAAAGTATGTTAGGCTGCTGTTTGCTTCAGTGAGGAAACTGAAAATCCTTGAAAACTCTACAACCACTTAAAAACTCGTTTTCAGATGGTACAGTTGTCTATCAGCAAGTTTAGATATATGAGTCAGGTGCAATAATCTAATGAGCATCAGGGCAGCTGTGGTAACTGCAAATAGGAAATAAAAAGCACTAAACACCAGCAGGAAAGACTGAGCTCACTGCATTTCTTCTCACCAGGGCTGAGAGCTCTGAGCTAGCACGGTGTTAGTTTATCATGGCCCAGCTGATGCCTTGCAGCACTTCAGTTATGGGGCTGTCCTGTGCAGAGCCAGCAAGATGGACTTTGATGGTCCTTGAGGGTGCCTTCCAACTCAGGATATTCTGTGATATAGAAAGCTGCATCCTCCAGGAAGGTCAAAATTGTTATGTGAATTTTCAGGAAGGATGGAGAAATGGAGAGGAGAACTTGTACGTGGATGGTTGTTTTGAAGGAGTAAATTACTTGTATGAGGAGGGTCTGGATGGTGGGAATGCCTCCATGACTAACTAAATCACTTCCCTGGCTGTCACAGAAGGCCTCCAAAAAATCTGCATGAGGGGACTCTCCACAGGGTGTGTGCTGGACAGTGAGTAATGGCAAGAAAGCACATGGATGTTGCTGAGGCCAAGCAAGTTTAAAATTGTGGGAGATTCACCAGGAGAATTGAGTCAGGGCTGGTAGCTGAATTGCATGCTGCAATTTCCTGCCTTTTGGCTACAATAAACATACTTGGAAAAGAATGGTGCCTCCCTAGCACAGGGAAACATCATTTCCCCCTAACATGCACACATGTTTTTCCTAAAATGAACTCAGATGGCTGAACTTTGTGCAATATGAAGGTAAAGGGTAGTGCTGGGTCGAAGAGGCTTTAAGGTGATGCAGTATCAACCAATCTAGCCCAAGTGGGAAGATGGCAAATGGCCCAGCAACGTGGCAGGCTCCTAAACACTGGAATTTCCACGTCCTGCCATCTTCTCTGCTGTACAGACTGAACTACATAATTAGCTGGGCATTAGGGCAAACTGTAGGATATTTACAGAATATAAAGAAATCTCTCTCATAAACAGCAGTTTTTATGGTTTAAATGCTGGCTCTAAGCTCTACTTATAGCAGCACACTTGCCTACTTGCTGTAGTTTTAACCTCTCCTTTCACGTGGCAGAAGTGCCCAAACCTCAGCCAGTCTTCCCTGGCATGGTAAAATTTAAATGTCTCTTTTTCTGGTGAAAAGCTCTGCTAACTTACAGCACAGCTTTGGTAATGCTACATGAAAGGGGAGACTATAAATACTGTCATTAAGAATCCCTGGTGACACTCAAATAGGCACTGTGAGTCTGTATTACAGATTTTTAATTTCAAATATTCTTTAAGACTACAGGCACAGTCTTCTAAATATACACCTGAAGAACACTGGCACGTAAATACTTCCTAATGGCTACATGATAAGCATCCCTTAGAACTGAAATACCATCTAAAAATGATCTGTAAATTAAAGATTATGGATCTTAGGTTCCTAGTAGTTTGACATTTTTCCAGCCATTTTAAATCACTTCTGTAGTATCATTTGGCCAAGGTCATCTTCACGTCACAGCAGTGAGAGGTCTCACATCTTTCCTCCCTAGGACTAAATAATGCTGTTAACATTAAAAGCATATACTAAAGACCTCTTTTGTTTAGAATAAAACGTTCCCATGCACTGCAGTGTTTCTTAAAATACCCCCTGTATGAGGCCCCTGTTGTTTAAAAGAGGCCTGTGGTGCAAAGCTGGCCCTCTTCGTGTATCAGCTACCAAAATCCCCTCATAACCACAGAAGTGTTTTGCAAGACCCACCCACACCTTGCACTGAAGATTGTTATATAAAATGCATTTGATCTGGCTGGTGAATGACTGGAGCCCGGCGTGGCTCCACAGAGGAAGAGATGCCAAAGTGACATTGTCATCCTTCCTCTGACATCAGCTCAGGCCTTACCGCTCGCTGAGTAGGTCAGCCTAAAATTTTTCCAGCATGATACCGTTTGGACTTAAATGGTTCTGTGATTTCTACCAGTTCTCCCAAGCTCCCTAACCCTAAACCCTTTATTTTACAAGGTGATTTGTGCTTCACCTGCATTTCCTTAGAGGGATGCAAACGATGGCTGTTCACAACTGAAACTAATGAACAGAGTTTCTCCAGAAGTTCTCTGGCACTCTGGTTTCTGTAAGCACACCTGAAGTATGTGTTGTTAGATTTCTCTGTGAGCTGACTTAAACCGCTTAAACAGAAGAAAACAAACCCTGCAAAAAACACTGACCCTGAGATAGAGCAGTCCTGCTCACCATTGTGTGTTAATCCACGTTCAGGTTACTGCAGGAAAATAGTTTTCTTTCCATGAATGCTGCTGCTGGAAGCAGGATGTTAAGCTGGTACAGTAAAGCCAATATTTTTTGTGGAGAAACCTCTTGACAGACCACAGTTTCTTCAACTCAGTACACTCAAGCTGGGACTGAGGATAGAGGTTGCCAGATCACAATACAACAGTTGTATGTTGCTCCTGTTTTACAAGGAAAACACTGAGTGGGAGATCAGGCATAAGGAGAGCATAAAACCTGAGATCATCGTGCTGCTAAACAGTTGTGCTGTGAGGTTGTAAAAATAACACAGCAAGATGAGGCCAAACTCTGTCTTTGGCAGTAAAAACGTGTACACAGGAAAGGAGGCTCCAAAAGCTTCATATCCCTCATGTGGTCATAGAAAAGAGCACTCAAATCACAAAGAATATGTAAGAGATGGGGGACAGACTGTTTGATAGATGAAGACTTTGAAAGCTATAGTCTGGACAGGAAAAAAAAGACTGTTTTATTCCTGACATGCTCTAGCTTCATTCCGAAGTTTTCATCTATCAGAGTGGCATTTTCAGTATTATCTTCAAGGGCTGCTCTTCTCCTGCTCTACCACAGTGGGAGAAAAGACTCTTGCTAAAGAAACCTGCCTCTGATTCTCCTGGGGCTTTTCCTCACCTTTATTGCTCACGAGGGGCAATGACAAGACAAAGGGAAATTCAGCTCCTGCCTGCTCACATGCACATCTTACAAACATCTCACAACCTCTGTGACATCAGAAAACTGTCCCAACACTTCAGTGACAGAAATTTAGCAATTAAGAATGAAGCTTTAACCTCAGAACTTCAGAGAAGCTGGCAAAAGCAGGAGTGACTTAACTGCAGCAAAAGGCATTCCCAACAAGAGCAGTAATTTTTAACTCCATAACCTGAGAATCTCTGCTATATTCTGACAGTTCAGCCTTGGGTTTAGACTGCTGGGTTTGGTTTTGTTTGTTTTCTTCCAGTCTGTACAAGACTACTACACATGAACCTCACTTTTGTGTTCCATCAGAAAGCCCTGAGTACTCTGAGAGCTTTCCTCTGACTTGGTCGGTCCTGGCATCTGAGTGTCCCCAAACAAGCCCCAAACACTTCCATGCTGAAATTAATTGTTAATGCCATGTTATAATATACAATGTTATAATGAAAACTTCTCCTATGAATATGAACTCTATGAGCTTGATTCTCACTCATCCTTCAGTCTCTAGAGTAGTCTGGCTTTCCACAAGGGGAAATATCCAAATGGGAGTGACAGGGCAGCACTACACCAAGATTTTCCAGGTTCTTTAAAGGCTCTAATCTGTCTGTATGAGTTGCTGCCCTACAGAAAGGAGGCTCAGCTGCCTGAACCCTCACCACTTACACAACTCAGTATGCTAAAGTGAACCACTGTTTTGGTTTTCTGTAGTTTGCCAGTCTGGAACTTGTAACTGTTCAGCTGCTGCGACTGTCTTGGAAAAGCTGTCCCCAAAGTCTGTGCTTCACAAAAGCCCACCAGTCACAACTCTGCTGTCAAATCCTGCTGGGATCATAAATCATGACAGTGATGAAGACAGCACTGGCAGTACAGGTAGGCAATGTTATGTGCTGTCCTGAAAAACAGCTGTGTGTTTGACTCACCCCAGGATGTTGTTTGCCCTCCTGGCTGCCAGGGCACACTGGTGACTCATGCTGAGCCTGATGTTGACCAGCACACCCAGATCCCTCTGCAGGGCTGCTCTCCTGCCATTTCTCTCCCCATTTATATTTGTGCTTGGCAATTACTCCACCCCAGGTCCAGAATCCACCAGCTGGACTTGTTAAATTTCATCCCATCAATCACAGCCCCGTGCTCCAATCTGTACAGACCCCTCTGCAAGGCATCTTGTCCCTCAAAAGAGTCAACAGCATCTCCCAGTTTGGTATCACCAGTAAACTTGTTAAAATTGCATTCATCTTCTGCATTCAGATTAGATGTTGGTTTTAACCCTCTTTACACAGGCATAACTGTTCTTTGCCTCCTTTTCGCCCTCCCTCCCCACCACCCAGCACATGCTATTGCATAGTTAACTGTGCCTGTACAGCTATTTTGTGCAGAAAGACAAATAAACTGATGTGGTGAAACACTTTATAAATAATAAAAGGATTTTGCTGGTACTATGAGTTAAAAAACCCAGAAGATCATCCCACAACTTGACACAGCTGTAGATGTTACATTGACAAGTCAGGAGCAAATGCAGGCACTGGGGCTCTGGTCGTGGTAGCCAAGTTGAAGAGACACTGCTGAGATGCTATGATATAAAGTTTGGTGTCTCTGGATGTTTAAGCTCTAAACATCTAGTGCTACAACTCTAATAGCTCCATCAGCTGAGGTTCTGATCTTCCAATAATACTTTATGGAAAAGAAATCTCCGTCAATGCAACCAGCAGAGTATTTTCTCTGCCATAACATAATTTCTTAACTTGCTGAGAATAGTGTGGGTAATAAAAATCAAAAGGAGGGAAACAAGTGTCAGCCAGACAAAAATGCCCAAAGATTAATTTCTTTAACTCATCTTTCTGTTATGTGAAAGGTCCTTGTTATGCTTGATGTTGACTAGATGGTAAGATATGTATCTTTGGAATTTAAAGTGGTAAGTCTTAAGAAAATAGAAAATCTTCCTCATCAAAGCTGAGGCAGGACCACATCTGTAACAAATTTAAGGCATGTAAGGACAAAAAAGAACAAGGTGTTGTAAAATGTACCTCTGTGGACACGTGTAATGCCCCACAGGAACTGGGTATCACGTTAGGTCACTGCTAACATAAATGCACGGAATGTTTTTGGGTGTGGCGTGTATTTACAAATTTTTCTCCAAAGAGATTGATTACTGGGGCATTCAGCATATTTCTGTTTACAGTTCCCTTATGAGTACAAGAAGCATTTTCTGTAACCTCAGCTTCCTGATTCAGTTTATTGTGATGTCAGTTATTTACGATAACAACACTGAGACAGTGCTTGTGGTTTGCACGGGACAAAGACAACCTTGTTTCTGTAAAAAGGGACAATCCTAGTGTGAGAAGCACAGGAAAGGCTATGCAGTAGGACTCCTAGGTGGTACTTCATTAATCCTGCCAGATCCATAATGGGCTGCACATTGCACTGACAGAGGTTTTTTTCCTTTCCATGGGATTGGACACTAATGTGAATGCAGCTTTTGGAAAACTACTTCTCTGCGGGACAAGGCTTTGCAGATAGGTATCTTGTGGGACAAATGGATTGCTAGTGGGCAGAGAGGCAGTGAGTGTCAGGATGCCAATGATTCAATACCAACTGCACGTTCTGTGGTCACGGGTGAGTCACCCTGCACCTCTGCTTACCCGTCATGAAACTGCTTTATTAATATTTAACTGTCTAAGCCAGAGATGCAGTGAAATTTGCAGAACGCCAGTAAACTCTGCAGGTCACAGAGCAGCAGAAGAGAACGAGAATCATGGTGAGTTATGAACAAAGAGCATCACCTTTGGTGCACTCACCTGCTATCCTTCCAATTGGCATTGTGTGGTTCCCCGGAGGGGACACGGACACCATGATGTGGTTCATGTAGGAGAACTCTTCTCGGTGGGACAGGTTGATTGGCTTGACCTCCCTGTGCAGCCCGTCCTCAGACAGCCTGGGGGGTTTGAAATCGGAGTGCCTGGGGTTCAGTATCAAAGGATGCATGATAGGGCTGGGCATCAGCTGGATGACCCTGGTGTTCTCCTGGCGGGGGCTGGAGGGCTTTTGGAGCACTTCAGAAGGAGGTGGGTAGTGGTTGTTTTCTACTGGGGACACTGAGAGGGGGTAAGGCTCTTGCTGGCTGTTCTCGTGCTGATGCCTCATCCCTGGCACCCTGTCGGCCGGGGAGAGGCGGCGGAGAGTGCTGTCCATGGGGGACTTGAGCGGCCGCTGGTCGGGGTCTGGCGATGGACGGTGGTTGTTGGTGAGGGGTGATCTGGAACGGTGCAACAGTTCAATGGTTGGGGGGTTGTGGTGGACTGTTTCTGTGGGTGGTCTTGAAGGTCTCTGGACAAAGTTATCTGTGGAGAAAAAAAAAAAAAAAAAGTCCCCAAAATACAGATTGTCTGCATCGTGATCAAGGTGTGTAGGATCTAACTCTTCAACTCCTAGCCAGGCTTACTGGGTACTGCTGTCAGCTTGGAAGTGTTGACCTGCAGATGCCCAGAAAAACACCCTGTAAATGCAGAGAGTTACTACTACACATAGTGAAATCTGTGCTGTGAAACAATCTCCTTCCACCACCGTGGATCAACAGTTCCTAGAGAAACATGTCAAGAGAAATCCCATTTCGAGAAGCTGACCGGTACATATGTGAAGAGTAAAATCTGATTTAGCTGCACTAATCCTGTTTCTGTGCAAATGCTTTCAAACTTATCTCCTGCCATTCATGTCTCTATGTGTTGTTCCTATTACTGTCTCACTCTTTGTGAAACACTAGCTAAATTTTATCCCTGCCTTCATTTTAAGAGCATGTATTATCTACATAAGGATATTTTCATCTCCTTTTGTTTAGTCTGTGCTGGCTACTGATGGTTTGTCACATATAAGCACTTACAGGTCTTCACAGCAGGAGGACTTCCAGCATCACATTTGCATAAGCACACTCCCCCAGCTATGATGCTTAACAGCAGGGGGGAGATAAATCACAGCTCTAGGTCAGTGTCTTTATGCACTAACAATCCTCTCACAAAATTAAAACGCTTGCCAGCACAAACTTTCAGGTTTAAGGCCATCAATTCTGACTTGGGAAATTACTGACAAAGAGGAAAACACCCCTGGAGCGCAGTGATTAACAGGTCTTTATCCGAAAAACAAAGATCAGGTTTCAGTGCTGTTTGTTGAAAGCCCTGGATGACAACAGAAGAACACGTGGCTACGTGTCAAAAACTCAAACAAGCAGCTGCTTATTTGTGGCTGCCGGTTTGTTCACTCCATTTTCTCTGATCCTTTAGTTCTCCTGTCAAGGCAGTGATATCTTCTGAAGACCCCAGGGCTCCAACTGCCCCGGAACCCAGGCGGGCACTGGGAAAGGGAAAGGTGTGAACAGGAAAAGCTCAAGTCCTGAGAAAATGTGGTGCAAGGCAGTGACACAGCACCAACCCTTTCACCTACTCAGCAGCCTGAAGTGTTAAAGTCTACAGGAAAACCTGACATTTGAGGCAGAACCTACATTGCTCCAGAGCACTTACTGCACACACTTGTGGTCCCAGGCAAGAAAAATGCATTTGTTGAGCTATTTAAGACATTCAGAATGAAACAGCTGGAGAACATGAAACTTCAGAACTACATATTGTTGTTTAAACACAGAGGAATTATTTTACAACCATACCTACTTCAATGTCTTTTCCTAAAGTCTCCTTTCTTTGCCACAATAGAAAGAAAATCCTTTTTTTTTTACTAAGTTGCAATTTGCTGAGGGAAAATTAACACTTAATTGTGCTAGTTTTTCCCAAGTGACTCTGTGGAACAGGAAGAAGTTATGTCAAAATACATAAATAAATGAATTCAACTATAAATTCTTGGCACGGAGATTTTTTGATTGCTCACTCTTGTGACAGCAGGCTGTAGTTTCTTTTGCTTGTTTTGAAGTTCCTCTAATTTTTGTCATTGTAAAGAGAAGTTTCAAGTAATAGCACAGAGTTTTCTAAGCAAAAGCAGTGGCACCATCAGCAGCCAGAGTGCTGTAAGGAAGAAATCAAAGCTGTTTCTTAATCACTACATTATAAAGGGCTTATGTTTTAAGTGATATACACTTCAAAGGCCAACTCATCACCCCTGTGAAATCCTCTCTAGTGAAAGTTGCTCCATATGTTTAAGGTAGGAGTGCCTGAAAGAGCAGCTCGTGTTTCTGGTTGAAATTTGAGATTTAGAATGGGAACCCTTGTGGGTGAAGGCCAAGCTTCAAGAAAAGATTGAGATTTTACAAACAGTGACTGAATACACCGGACAACTCTCTTGCACAACTCTGCCAACTGAACCTCATCTTAATCTGTAGCACCTTCATCTAAGCTGAAGTAATTTACACAGCTATGTAGAAACACTTTGGAGTGTCCTTATTCCACCTGCTGCTGTCCTGTTCTTGGCTTAATTTTGGGGTTTTGCTGGTGCCATTTGATTCTGGCAAGGTCTGACAGCAGTAGCCCTGAATCCTTCCTTGCAATCCCATGTTGAATCTTCAAATAGATGCACCTCAAATAGAATCAGCACATCTTTTACCCAGTTAGCTTAGACTAGGGAGACATCCTAACTCATTCATGTTCTCTTCTATTTACTCACAAAAGGAGTTACACTTCTTTTTCCTGTATTTTTTTAATTGAAAAAGTGAATTCTGCCTGATGTTTTGAATAAAACTTTCTGCTTTTTAACCTGTGTCTGGCATAGCTTTTTGAACAGGCTTTGGAAAGAGAACAAACTAATAGAAGATAACTGGAGAAGGTCTCGTTCACTCAGTAGAACACTTGATTGTTCTGAAGCTACAGACACAAAGGGAGGAGAGCAGCTTTATTTAAGTAACACTGAAGCAAGAAAATTGCTGAATTCCTCACAGCCTTACCCTACTCCGGTAAGAATGAGACAGAGTTACCTTCATCATGACTCTGGTGTAATGTGACCTCTGACTGAGAATGGATGGAGTTCCCAGGGTGGAAGAAAGGTGTGAAGAGCATCCGAGCTTTCCTTTGCTTCAGGATCTGCTGCAGGAGTTCATACAAAACATCACCTGAAAGAGGAACAGCCAGAAAAAGGAAACCAGAATGTACATAACTGATGAGAAGACTCGTTTAGCCATCTAAAGCACGAACTCGTGCCTCCTGGGTGCTGTTTCCAGCCCCAAAAATGCTTGCAGGGAAATCTCGATTTTTAGTTCTGCTTGCTCTCTTCTGTTTGTCACTGCTCGTGTTACAGACGAGCAGGTTGCAGCAATACCATATTAACTGAAAAGGAACTTGGGTTTCACTTAAGAAAACAGATTTTCTGGGAAAGTTTTCTCAAGCACGTGGAGTTTGTTTTTTTTTAGCAGTTGTTTCTACAAGACTGTAAGCTGTGCACCATTTGTCCCTTGTCTCTATAAACTGCCAATATTCTATTTGTGGGCAAGTGTAGTTTCTCGGTGTGAAAGGAGTTAAAGCCACATTGCTTTCCAGAGTTCAGCTTCCTTTATTTTTAACATCTTGGCTGCTTTTACTGCCTCAGCAGTGACTTTAGGGCATTTGTAATACCTGAAAACTCAATTAGAAACAAAGCCTCAAGAACCCAGCTACGTGACAGTCTGAAAAGTGATTTTACCATAGACTTTCCATAACTGAATACAACAGTGGCATAATCATAACTAGTGCTGTAACACTCCAAGCAATAAGAGAGAAAATTTTTGCCTCTTTTGATTTGGCCTGACAGACTAATGAAAATGTCTTTTTTTTTTACCTAACAAAACAGTTACACTTCTGCAGTGTGTGCAGTGGGTGAGGTTCTCTTGGTTTAACCCTGAGTGGGAACAACACGATTTTCATTTAGCTTCAGTCTTGGAAAACTTAATGCCTCTGTGGCAACCATTATTTCACAGTTCTTAAATTTCACAGACAGTTAATTTCTGGGAAATACTGTGGTAATGTCCTACCTACAGCCATCTAAATTTTTAAGGGCTTACTCAGATATCCTCTAAAAGGTTTATTATCAAGGTTTATTACGGGGAACACACAGAGAGAAGGAAGAAGGAAAATGCAAGGGAGGAGGCCTTTAGTTTGGTTATTTCATCCCAAACTTAGGTAAATAACTGCTTAAGCTTCTGCATAAAGTAAGACTTTCCAAGTCAGAGGCTCTTCTCTGGGAACACTTTATTTCCAGCCTACAAACATTTTTAATCCTGCCCACAAAGGGGAATATACCTTCAGAACTTCCAGGCAGGAAGGGCAGTAAGGGGAGTTGCAGACAACATACCTACAGGTATCCCTTGCAGTCCCTGCCCACATCCCTGCTTTCAACACTCCTTTTGCTTTAAAAGCAGGGCTAGTTTTTTAAGAAAATGATTCCAAGTGATGTACCAGAATTAAGAAAAAAAAAAAAAGAGACATTTCTTGGCATAAGTTCTCACAACAGGTGTTAATGTCTGGCCTCTCCTTCCATACAGAATAAGCATGTGCTTAAAAAACTTCACATACCCTACACATAATCAACAATTTGTGAGGCAGATCCTGCAGGAGGATGGCTGGGGAGAGTCGCCAAGCAGGCTGGAGCAGAATTACTGCCACAGTTTGATTATCAGCTGGATCCAAGCAGCACCAGCTGCACTTCAGCACCCAGCGAGCCCTGCACCGGAAACCTCCTCACAGCAATTCTGTCACCGCTTGGTCCAAGCTCTTTAATCACCCATGGTGACTGAATTACAAGCCTTTGTATTTCACAGGAGTACCTTGTATGGTCACAAAACAAAGCTCATAACTCATATTTAGTCAAACATCCCTGACAAAGGAGGGCAGATGCTCACTGTGACTGTAAAACTGGAGCAGACAGACCGCAGGGGATAGAAATACAGGCAGGCAGCGTGCACGTTTCTAAATCTTCTCAGTGAGTAAGTGAAGACATAATTTGAGCAATAGGCAGACTGATTCACACACCTGTCTGTGCTGTGCCTTGGGCTGGATTCCAGCACATGAGAGAATGTGGCAAAGCAAAACCCACAGGGGCTGTTAAATAGAGGCAAAGTCCCCAAGGGAGGAGTTTTGCAGTCGCTTTTAGCAGCACCTCAGCCAAGTCAACTGTGAGGCAAAATGCTAATACGGGCTGCTTAAAGATCAACTTGATTAACTTGGGTCTGTGAACGGATAAACCTTTACAGGGAAGAGCTGGAAGTCACAAAACGCTGCCAGAGAAGTTTGCTTTCTGAGAGCTCTGCAGGGAGTTTCACCTAACAGACAGGTTGGGGGTTTGGATTGGGATTTGAACTCAAATATGGCGACAACTCAGCTGCATGAGGATTTCATTTCCTCTCTGTCCTTTCTGTCCTTGCCTCATACGAGTGTCCCTGTCCTTTGACAGTCTACTCCCATAAAGGTGACCGTTTCCTCCTATGACCCCCTTCAGCTTCTGCTGCAGCTTCCTCTCTGTTTTCAGTCACAGCTCCCGTGAAGGATTCTCACCTGAATGATAAAGGATTCTCACCTGAATGAGGAGACCTGTATCGGAAGTCCTCTTTGGTCAGGAGCAGCAGGGCCTTGCCGTTCATCTCGAAGGTGCTGCTGTCGATGGGCCTCAGGGAGAACTCCTTCTCTGCCCACCGGAGCCACTGTGCCACATCGTCCCTGCTCCAGTAAATGGGCTGCAAACCTGCGGCAGGAGAGACAGCGGCTGTTACCAAACTGGGGCAGGGCACGGGGATGTGGGTGGGGATCAGTGAATCCCCCAAGTCTCGGAGGGAAGTGTAGGAGAGGAATGTCATACTGATGCAGAATTACTCTAAAATGTGAGATACTTCCTTAGCTTAGGCACCCTGGTTTATCTGTGACATACTGTGAAACAAGAACTGCCCCAGCATCCTGAAAAAAAAGCTCCTAAGATATTATTCCATTTCAGATTTCCACTGTGCAGTGGGGTTTTCCTCCAACTGCCCCTTCTAGTGTGCAGAGCAGGCAGCAGGCAAAGTCCTTGGCCCCATCCATCCTTGGCATGTACCCTTTCATGGAAGAGAGGCCTGCTCTCTCTCTACACCCCTTGTAAATTCGTGGATAAAAAATAACGAGAAGTTGTCAGATGCAGAAGAGCTGTGGCTTCCCTACAGGTGGCTGGGGTCTGTAAGGAAGGGCTGCTACCACAGCCTCTGTGACAGTGTGTCTGTGAGCCATCACCAGTGTGTGTGTGGTTGAGAGAGGTGTGTTCAGACAGGCCCACTGCTCCTCCAGATGCCATCACTGCCGGCAGATGCCATTCCCACACTACACAGACTGCGGCACCTTTAGCGCTGTGTCTCCTGTATAAATATAAAATATTACCGATGTAACTTCGTCCACAGAAGGGGATGTGTTATTTTATGGTAAAACAGCAGGGATATCCATTGGTTTGGGCACAGATTTTCCAGGGTGCCAAGGAGAGTCTGGCACTCCCTTTCTCCCAGCCAGCTCATACAGCAGATAGAGCCTGAGCTACTGTGTTTACTCACAGGGGCCCAACCACGTTACAGTCAAACTCACAGACATTTTGCCTGCTACCTTTATTGGGCCCAGGCAGAGAGGCTTTGGAGGTGAGGACAATTCAGTATCTGTTCTACAGACAAATTTAAACAGCTTCCTTCCCCTGAGAGAAGGAAACTACCCAAGTAGAGAGATTATCTCCAATCCACTGGGTGATAAAAGCGTTTTTGGTTTTTTTTTTCTCCTGGCGAGATGACTCATTGTTTGACTTGCTACAAAGCTTACCCACTGTGCATAGGAACATAAAATTTGCTGTATCTGCTCAGATCTCGGGTACACAGGCTCTGGCAGGAGCCAGTACCTTATGCTTCAGAGGAAGATGAACCTCCCTTCCTTGTATTGCACCTGGCTGATTGTTTGCTGCACATGGGAAGAGATTTCCTTCCTGGCACACCATTCCCTGAGATCTGATTACCCTCTTCCTAGCAGGCACTAAGAGAAACCTGGGAGAGCTGTGCCATTCCTGTTTTGATTTGGTTTTTACTTCTTTAACAGAGAGGCAACTCTTTTTTTCTGTTTTAGCAGGAGGCAACATGCAGTGAATTGCGTTCTGCTGCTACGCCAGATTCCCAAACAATGGCTTTGGAAAGTCCCAGAATCAACAGCTGCATACAGAACTGAACCTCTGTCAGAAAAGGAATTGAGATCATGCCTGAGAAAGGACCAGAGTTGACCTAAGGAAGGGACCTCTGCATGGCAGTAGCAAGAATTTCCTCTGGCTTTCAACTGCACTGTATTATGTGCCACACAGAAACAAGTAGTAGCAGTTATTTATTTTTAAAGTATTTAAATTCTATTCCCCCTATGAACTAGGATCTGCTTATTTGGGTCAGAGTTTTCTGTGGGACCTTTCTTTTTGAAGAGCCTGGACCGAGATGAAGTGTAGATTTGCTCAGAGACATGGAAACCATCATCTGAAACCCCAGAATGAGGTTCACCTTTTGCTGAATACACTGCAGAAAATACACCCCAGACCTCAGGCTGCTGCTAGGCAGCATGCACACTGACTGGAGCTAAAAGAGAACGAGGTAAGACATGATGCAGCCAGACTACAACATAAAAAAGGGGGTTAAAAAACCATCTGAGGAGTGCTTGAAATGCTCTTGTGTGGCTTCTTTTCCCTCCCTCTTTGCCACGCCGTGCAAGTAAAAAAACTGCCCAAAGGAGAACTGTGGTGTAGAAATCTCACCAGACTTGTGATGTGCACTTCACAAGATGAGGCACGAAACAAAAGAAAACATGACTGGGAAAATGAGGCTGACAAGGACAGAGCTGTATGATAACTTCACATGAGGTGTGTGCTCCCTCATATATAACGAGGTAATAAATAAACCACTCCCTGTCCAAACACAGATCAACCTGACCTAGGACTACTTGGCTTGAAATTACTAACAATCAGCAAGCAGCCAGTCTAATTCAGTGTGGCTATCACTAAAATGAGTGGGTGGATGAGCCGTATCTCTCTCTCTCCATCCGTGGTGTGACACCATAATTAAATACTTACATTGTGTGGCAGGCATAAGGTGCTATAAAATGAGTTAACTGCTTTTTCCTGGATGGATTGCTTTCTCTCCTGTTTCCCTCCCTTCCTGCACTGCTGCTTTCCTGGGAAGTTAGTTTCTCTCAAAAAACACAATCCCCCAACTGCATGCCCGTTTGTTTGGTGAGGCTGAACCAGTTCAGTCACAGGAGGCTTTTCCAGGGGTGCAACACCAGTGTTGCTAAAAGTGCTTCAGAAACTGCCATCCAAAAAATAATTCTTTCATGTGCAGTAACAGCATTTACTAAACTTGTATGCCACCTTCTTGGACCTCTCTTAGAAACAACTACTTGGTTTTGTGAAAACAAGGTCATGAGAGGGTTGGCTTTGCAGCTGAAGGGATTTTCCAGCACAGTGTACGTTGCTATCAGTAGGTCCTGAAAATGCTTTCCTGTGCTGTCCACAAAAGAAAACTTAATCCTGCTCACACTATTTTTCTTCTTTGGATGCTGCTTCTTATTTTTCCCTCTCCATCTTCTCTTTTAGTCTCATGCACACAGCGGAGAAAAACGGGCTCAATTTTTATCTCTCTAGCTTTATTGTCTGCAAAAGCCAACAGCAGTGTCTTTAACTAACAAAGATATTCACCAAGCAGAATGAAGTGGGGGAAAAGAGAGCTGTGTTGCAAAATTAAGGGCAGAGTTTTGCCTGATGAACTGACTGCTGAAATCAGTGTGAAGGTTCTGCTGCTTTCAGCAGGTGCAGATCAGACACAGGGGAAGCTGCCTTTCTCCCAGCCTGCCGTCTGGGTGGCCACTGTTGCCAAGGACTTCACAGCGTGAATTCTGACCTGAGAGCCAGAGCTGTCTCTGCTCCCACCTCTGGCATTGCTCCGCTGGTTGAAATCCAGCAAGCATTCCCAGCTGTGGCCTCCTTATCTGGATAGTGTAAAAAATAAACACCAAAACACCTTCTTGAACTGAACAGCTGAAAGCAGGTTAGACAGAGGTGTGTAAACCATCTACAACTGGCTCGGTGAGATTCAGGGCATCTTCTGTCTTCTGCCAGTTTCCAAGCACCACCTCCAGCAGAGCAAAATGCAATAACTCATTGACATGTTTATGAGCTGACAGTTTCATATGCATTAAACAGGGAGCAAAATTCGTGCTCACCTTTCTGCACTGGTGTCTCAAGAGATTATCTACTTCTGTGGCGTATTCCTCACCTGAAATCCTGCTTCTAACACCTGTTACACAAGCTACCTTGTAAATGGTGGCAAGCAGCAAACCCAAGCACAATGGAGAGGGGCTGATGAGGTAATTTACACTCTGGAGTAGCCAGTAAACGTGTTTAGCCCTTAACACCCAGAGACAGAGGCATGAACAAGGTGAGCACTCTGCTCACCTGGTAGAACCTTCTGCACGCTGAACTACACAGCCAGCAGTATTTGCATCTGACCACAGACTTTTGGTGGGGTTGCAGCTTTGGTTTTTGAGGAGACGTAGCCAACCCTGAACCTCGCAAAGCGCTCGCACTCAGCATCTCCTTCTTTGGTTGGGAGGACAGAGCGTGTATTTCACACTGTGAGTTGCTACGTACAGTGCACGTAACAGATACATCTAAAACGTGAACTGTAACGCAACACAGGCTGCTTTCACCTTGACTCACTTTGGAACAATCTGAAGACACAAATCCAGTGCAAAATGCGACGTACAGTACCACTGAGAGCTGCTGATCTGTTTTAGTTTCGATATGAGGACACAGCTGTGAGGACATCAGCATGCATGATGGAAGCATGCTGATTCATGGCAAATTTTGTCTAACTTCTTTGTTCCTCCTCAGCTAGGCTCTCCACCCTGAGGATGATGATATGAGAAGGGAGTAAAGACAGACCTCTCATTTATCCCTGCTTTCTGCAGGGCAGACAGAATTGTTTGCACTCCCACGCCAAAAACCCCTTAGCATGGTTGGGCAAACAGCAAAAGGGACGGTGTATGCAAATCAGCAGCTGGTTTCTGAATGCCCAGGCACAGATGCATCATCACTGGCAGCGTGAAGGAGGCCAGCTCTGCCCACAGCACAGCACTTTGAGCCACTGGTGGGAAAATGATGATGGAGAAGTTCAGACCTGAAAGTCTGCTACCAACTGACTCTGGAGGAACTGATGCTCTCTTTTCTGTTACTGATTAGCAAAATTTTTCCATGGCCCCATAAAGCACAATATGGGGCTCTGAGTACGATGGTGTATGTCAAGCAGGAGAGGGGCAAGAGGTTGTGTTTTTCCCTTCATTTCTGTGTGAAGGCAACACAGTCTGAAAAAAAAACACCCCATAGGATTAGATTTAAATCCTTCTCCCAGAGCACCTTCCCTCCTCTCTCCCATCTTTGTTTGAAAAACTGGACTACCAAAATGCAAAGAGGTGCCATGGGGCTTTGCCAGTTAACATCTGAAATGCTTTTAAAAGTGCAAAATGCTGCCCAGCCTCTTCAAATGACTGTGGTTCAATATTCCTGTGGTGCTGGGTCTGCCTGACCCACTTGCTCTTTCCAGCAGGTGCCACAGGGCCCAGGCACTGCAGAAGCAGTAGCTATTTATTCACTGCTGCTGGGCTGCAGGTATTGCCTTGTCCTGTACAGAGAGCTGGCTCTGCAGTTTCAAG